TTTCCAGGTTGGTCACAGGGAATATCCATCCAGCAATAGAAGAAAATAATTTAGTAGTACCTACCCCATGACAGGCACTGGGCATCCATGCTTTGGAAGGTGGTGGTGACATGTCAAGAAAGGCTTTTTAAAAAGATGATACTTGATTTTTTAAAAAATCTAAATTAGTCTGCTTTTCTTTTACAGAGAACATACCTGGTTACTGTACAAATTTTAGAAAATATAGAAAGGTATAAATAATATAACAAAAATTATCCATCATTTTGAACATGGTTTTGTGTTCTACTATTGTTACTTGATATCCTTTCTGGAACCAGTATATCTTATTATCATTACAGTATATTCTTCTGCATCACTGAAAACTCAAAAATTATTTAAAATTAGCATGCATGGTGTTTCACTGCATGGATATACCATGCTTTTATATGTAAATTTGTATTTAACCATTCTATTACTTAGATCAGCCCATCCAGGTTGTTCTAACTTTTCTCTATTTCAGTTTTTTTTGGAAGGGGAGTTGATTAGGTTTACTTATTTGTTTATTTTTGGAGGAGATTGAACCCAGGACCTTGTGTATGCTAAGCATGCACTCTACCACTTGAGCTATACCCTCCCCCAATTCCAAATTTTTTAAATTGAAGTATAGTTGGTTTACAATGTTGTATTAGTTTCTGATATACAGCATAGTGATTCAGTTATACATATAGATATATATTCCTTTTCAAATTCTTTTTCATCTCAGGCTATTACAAGATATTGAATATAGTTCCCTGTGCTGTACGGTAGGACTTTGTTGTTTATCTATTTTATATGTAGTGGTATCTGCAAATCCCAAATTCCCAATTTATCCCTCCCCCCCCCTTCTTTTCCTGTAACCGTAAGTTTGTTTTCTATGTTTGTGAGTTTGTTTCTATTGTGTAAATAAGTTCATTTGTATCTATTTTTAAAATTCCACATATCAGTGATACCCTATGGTATTTTTCTTTCCCTTCCTGGCTTACTTCACTTTTCTCTATTCTAAATTGAGCTGAGACTTGAAGGATGATTAACCAGGAAAAGAGTATGGGGGTGGGGTTAATCAGGCAAAGAACAAGAGCCTTGCACTTTCTTAAAATATACAAAATAGATTAATGGAAATATTTCAATAATGATGAGAACAGTAACTAACACATAGCACTTAATATGAGCCTTTTGTAGATGTTAATGTATTTCATCCTCAGAGAAGTCCTCTGAGGTAGGTACTGGTATTACTCCCTTTCACACATGAGGAAACAAGCACAGAGAGGTTAAGTAACCTGTGGAAGAACACACAGCTAATACATGATAGATTTGGAAATCACATCAAAGAGGTCTGGCTCCAGAGTGTAAATAAATCAGAAAAGGGAAATGTGCTTGTTTTAAATTTATGTTAAAAGCTTAACAGCCAAAGTTGTGTTATTATGATGTAAAATGACTTTAAGTTTTGCCTTTTGCAAATCTTTGAACACTGGAATCCATTGATTTCTCTCTTTTCTTTAGAAAATTAAGGGAATTAAATAGTGGTTTCCATGTTTGTTCTAAATACTAATCTCTGCATCTGTCATGGGATGTTCTGTGCTTATAGTATTTCACCCTGCCCTGTGACCTGCAAGGAAGGGAAATCGTGCTTTGCCAAGTGACACATCATTCATAAAAAGCAGAGAAGAGATCTGCACTTTTAAGGAATCACATGAGGCTCAGAGGGCTGAGTCTTTGTTTCCAGGAAGTCTGAAGGTGGCCAGAGATAAAGCCAAAGGGGAAGACAGGGGTCAGGTCATAGAGAAGTTTCCATTTCATGCTGGAAACAGTATAGAGTGTTTGAAGGGTTTTCAACAGAGAGAGACAGAGACTGATTTGAGCAAAAATCACTTTGGGTGCCATTGATGGGATAGATTGAAGAGAGGCAAATCCGAAGGAAAAACAGTTGTTAGGACACTGTCACGGGAAGAAGCGAGGAGGGTCTGCCTGAGACAGTGGCAGTGAGAAAGGTGAGCAGTAGATACACCTAATGTCAAGTATACAATAGACTCGGTGGTTGAACAGATGTAGGAGATGAAGGAGGAGGAGGAGGGAGGAGTCAAGGGTGACTCCCAGGCTCCTGGCTTGGAAGCTTGATAAGAGAGGATGCTTTTCACTGAGTAGAGGATTCAGAAGGAGGTGCATTGCAGTGGGGTTGGAGGGAAGAATCAAATCCAGTACCAAATTGTACGCCCTGATCTGTGCATATGCGCGCGCGCACACACACACAGCCAGAAGTGAACGACAAGAACTCAAGATAGGAAAGGACCTGGCTGCAGAAAGAAGGGGCTGCATTAGAGAGACACTGTCTCTCTAGGATGCTAGAAAGGGATCCCCAGAATATTGTTTCTGCCCACCTGAGAGGTGGGGCCAAGCCTGCTACAGCCTGACTCTGCAGACCACAGCTGAAAAAACGAGGCCAAGGCTGGGCCAAGCAAGGGTGAGCCTGTCCATGGAGTCACTGCTGCTGAGATTGACAGCTGGGGCAGGGGAGCTGCAAGGGCCAGGCACTGGCAGGAAACTAATCCAGCAGGGCTGGGGCTTCGGAAGCAACGATGGAAGAGGTGAGCAGAGCCAGACAAGGCAGAGATGTTGCAGGACCTGAATTGTTTGGCCAGAATTCCCTGTACTCGTGGCTGGGATGTTCTGCTGGATGGAGGGAGGGCCTCAAAGAGGCTGGAATGAGCCAGAAAGTGAGGACACAAATCAAGCCCCTCCAGGCTGAAGGATCCACTGTGTTGACTCCTTTCTGTCACGACCACCTGAGAGATCTTGGGTGGTCCTCAAAGATCCAGCCCTTGACACCATGGCCAATCTGAATCTTTATATAATATTAGTATTTCAACTCCATAGTGAGACTTTGGGCATAATGCATACTGTTAGTCAAATCAGTGGATCATTCATTCACCAAATACTTACTAAGGCTGGTTGTCAGTGGAGATACAATGTTAAATAATCTAGACCTTGAAATGAAAAAACAGCTAATTCCACCTCTCTGATCCTAGGCAAGTCATCTCACCTGAGAATCAATTTAGCACCTAGGAAATACCTAAGCTCCTTCCAGTGCAACCCTCCTAAGGCTTGCTTACATTATGCATTCAGCATATGCAAATTAAGCACATACTTCACATAGCAGTATGTCATTTTCTGATTCAAGTCAGAAACACATAGGACAAAGGGCTACTTCCTGGTTTTAGGATTGGTATGAAAAATCTTCCAAATATATACTCACTACGATAGAATTTTATATTCAATAAATCGCCTTTATTAAAAAGAACAAAATTATAAGAAATAGGGGTTGTGTCAGAAAAATTCATCATGTTACAATCATCGTGTGCTAGAATTTGGTTTAAATCCACCAAGACGTGGCAGGAATTTGGTTTAAAATCAACAGGGCACGGTCTGCATTGTTGAGGAGACCATTACACTGTAACTAATTATAACACAATGTGGTAGGTGCTGTAATGGTAGAGGGGGGTATTAAGGTCCATTATGAGAAACGTGATTGATTCAGCAGTTTCCATTCCCTTCTTGTCACCCTCCTCGACTCAGAGACAACGGCTCTCAGAAACTGAATCACGAGGATGGCGGGGGTTCCCCAAGAAGTAAATGAGGGGATGTAATTGGCTGAGGGCTGGAGCAGAGCGGGTCGGGGGAGGAGGAGGCATTGTCTGTGATCTAGAGTTTCCAATGAAGCAAGTGATGGACTCCTTTTTTTTGGAGTTGACAGTAGCAGAGGAAAACAGCTGGGTGGTAAATCCCCAGTGAAACCTGCCAGCCACTGCCCCCAATTTTGCCTTTGCTTTGCCTGCTGCAGGCTACCCTTCGCCCCTCACGAGCAGCATTAGGGATCACGGGGATAGGATGGAAACACAGCCCTTGGGTTTTAAGAGAAGTAACTCTACAGGCACAGGAAGGACAGAGTTCCTAAGGTGTGGTCTCACTTTGCTTCTGTCTTATTTCCGCCATTGTTCTAGCTCCTTGGAGGGGGGGCGGGGATCCAAAGCCCTCTTGGTTTAGCCCTCATTTTAGCATCCTCATCTATATTTGCTCCTCCTCTCTGCGGCTGCTCTGAACTACTCGCTCCTCCCTGTGAAGTAGCAATTTCACACCTGTGAGTCTGCACCAGCTGGGCCGTTACTGCCACCCTGTCTATACATCTTCAAATCCTAGGTAACTTTCAAGACCCAACCAAAATTTCACCCCTCCTGTGAAGCCTTCTCTTGTCCTCCCAAGGGAGGCCATTGCTCCCTCCTCCTCACATTCTAAACTTTACTTTCCTCCGAAGAACCTTAGCACTTTCTGCTAAATGCTGTGGTTACCAGTTTACACACTCCACTTGCTCCTACTAGACTGCGCATCCAGAGGACAAAGATTATTAGAAAGAGCTAAATCTTTCTCTCAATACAAAATGTGATTTATGCTTACTAATTCTGTAATAAAATAATAAAGGATGGAAAAGAAACAAGTATAGAGATCTGGCTAAGAAAATAAGACTCTTCACACCACTGAAATCGTGAATTGAAAAGAATCAGAAAACTGCTTTGAATTTGGCATTACTTATGTAAATACCTTACAGGTTCCTCAAAATAGTTCAGAGAAAGGGAAATCAAGGCTTCATTGTAGCAAAGCCCATTGAAAAGAAACTTGAGTAAGTGTATCAAAAAATTCTCCCAAATTAAACAATTGACAACAACCTGCTTTCCAACTGGTGGTGGCATGTTTTAAAACAGAACGTGTCCATAAATTTGTGGACTGACCACAAACGTAATACATTCTTACTCCCCCCAAAAATGAGAAAATGTCAGAAAAAGAGGAAATGAATGCTTTGGGTATTTATTTCCAAAGCTTTTTATTTTTTTCGTGCCTAGGCCGTGTGTGTGTGTGTGTGTGTGTGTGTACACTATAACCATATATACATACTATGGTTACAATATTTATCATATATGTGTGTACACACATATATTTGTATAATTTTTCATCTTGTACAATTTGTACAATATTTTGTCTTTTTTTTTTTTTACGAGTGGTGTTATGATTACATTCATGCAACTTCCTTTAGTTTAACGGCTTAACAGTAAACAATTCCAGTGGCTACACCATCACTTCGTTATTCCCTGATAGAGGACATTCGGGTTTCCTTATTTGGAGTTTCAGATGATGCTGGGTTAGTATCTTCAGCTCTGAAGATGCCTCCGTATTTGGGCTCATTTCTTTAGAATGCTTTCTTAGAAATGTGTTCTCTAGGCTAGCGGATATAAGTATTTTTAGGCTTCTGACATATTAACACTCACATCTAACGTCTCCTTCAGTGAGTGTTTAACCCAGTGCCCCTAGTCCCTCAGTGACTGTTTGATGAATGGACAAGTGACAGAAACATGACTCATCCTCTAGCGGGGATTCTTTGCATCCAAGGGAGGCTCATGTCACCCTCCAGGGCATCAGCACGTCTTCCCCATCCGTTGGTCCATCCGTTGGTCAGAACAGCTGAGGAAGCACAGAAGTCTCAGCTCTGTGAGAAGGATGCGGCTGGAGTTCATGATGGGAAAGGACCAGCTAAGAATAGCCCCGGGTGGACACACACCACTCTCCTCCTGCTCACGGGGAAAACCATTTCCTCACATGAAACCAGAACAAGTCATATGTTGCAGGCTGAGTCTTAGAGCTCAGAGAAGCTATTCTCAGATATCCTGAGCCGCTGTGGCTGCCGGCAACCCTGAGTTGTGCAACACTCAGTGTGAAAGCCCCACTATGCTTAAAATTTTTCCTCCTCACCCCCGGATTCCACTTCCTCATCTGCCAGGGCTGCTTATAAAGAGCAGGGGAGATGGCTTCTCACTGCAGAAGGACACAGGCAGCAGCGAGCGCCCAGTCCCACCCCGGCTCCGCTGACATTCCAGGCCACCCTCCATCCGCTCAGCGTCATGCAGGTGCCCACGGCTGCCCTCGCCGTCCTCGTCTGTGCCATGGCCCTCTGCAGCCAGGTCTTCTCTGCGCCATGTGAGTCCTTGTTGAAGCTAAGGGTGTCCCCACTGTCTGGCCACAGTCAGATCACACCAATCTTTTCTTGTGGCCTTGAGAGCCCCCAAGAGAAAAGAGAGAACTCCTTCAAGGGTGACAGAACATCTTGGCCTTTCTCTTCAAGGCTTTTTTTTTTCAAACCTTTATAAATGGGGTCCCCAGCTCTGGAGCCAGGGTTGGGTAGGGAAGTTACAATCCCATTTTACAGATGGCAAAATAGGGACCTAAACAAGAGGTGGAATCTAAGTCTGGTTACCTCCCAGGGGTGTCATTCTTCCATGAACTCTCCCTAGGTCCCCCCAGAAGCTCTGTCCCTTGGATGTCTTAGGACAGACCCCTGAGTGTTTTCTTTTGCTGGGATGTGACTTCTTGAACCAGACCCAATTTCATGAAGGGAAGTGGGATGTCTGAATGTTTGGATCATGGAGAGAAAGCCCACAGTGAAGAGTCAAAAGAAAGAAGGGAACAGAAACCAGGACAGAGACAGGGATATTCCCAGTGGCTTGTCCCCCAGCCCGCACCCTGGCCAAGGCTGTCTCCCTCCCTCTGAGTCCTCCTCACCAGCCCAGAGATCTCAGAGCTCGCCTTTTCTTCTGAATAATGACTTGGGCCCATTCCTCCACAGTTGGTGCTGACACCCCAACCGCCTGCTGCTTCTCCTACGGCCGGCAGATTCCTCGAAAATTCATAGTCGACTATTTCGAGACCAGCAGTCAGTGCTCCAAGCCTGGTGTCATGTAAGTGCCAGTCTTCCTGCGTATCTCTGGGGAGTTAGCAGGGTACTGGGGGGCCAGCGCCCAAAAGCACAGATGGGCCAGGGGTGCCATCCTAGAAAGCGCAGCCCTCTGGGGCCTCTCGAGTGTGCAGGAATTAGGTGTGACCTGACCTGGCCAGGCTTGCAGAGTCAGGGAGGCTGGTCCAGCCCCGAGGGAAAGGATGGGAGGAGGTGGCAGCAGGACCCTCTGAGGGGCTCCCGAGTCAGGCAGAGCAGCTCTCTGGGCTGAGATAGGCAGAGGGTCCCGGAGCAGTGGGCAAGCCTGGGCTGCCCAGGACAGGGAGTAGGGTAGAGGGGCCATGGTGGGCCCAGGATCCCCCTGCTGGATTCCTCCGTGGGTAATCCTTCCCCTCCTCTCCACAGCTTCGAAACCAAAAGGAGCCGGCAGGTCTGTGCCGACCCCAGTGAGGACTGGGTCCAGGAATACATCAACGACCTGGAGCTGAATGCCTGAGGGGCCTGGGAGCTTTGAGAAACCCAGCGACCTCAGTGCCCAACCAGGCAGCAGGGTCCTGAGCCTTGGAAACACCCCGTCCCCTCCAGAGCTACCTCTCCTGTGCACTGTGCACAAAAGCAGCCACACTCTCGGGCTCATTCCTAACTTAAATAGCAGCTTATTTATAGTATTTAATTTTTTATAATTTATTTTCCATGTTGCACTGTGTCTGGGACCGTTTGCTCTGAGAGGTCCCAGGACACCTTCATCCCCGCCCTTCCCTTCCGCCTTCACTTGCGTGGTGGTGAGATGCCTTGTTCGAGGCAGAGATGGCATCGATGCCCCCAGACTGACAGCTGCGTGTTGGCTGTTTCTGTCCAGTGAAATAATAAAGACGCCCTTTGAAAAAGTAAACTGTTACTGAGTTTGGTTTTGTTTGTCCGGCAAATCAGAATCACGGGTTGAAAGGAACAGTAAGCGAAGAATAAGAGGAGGGAAATGGAGGAAAACTGGGGAGAGATGCAAGGGGGCTACCACAGAGACACTCTGCTTTACACTGGAGCCACAGTTCCAGAACACTGAAATGATGGATACTTTATGAATTAAACCATGATGCACATATTCTAGAAAAATCCGCCATTTGAATGGATACCATTAAGGAGAATATTCGTAGTACATAGTGCAATAAATCAAGCTTTCTGAATAACCATTACTAACATATTTGAGACTTAGTCTAGGCTGAGTGCTTTCTATGCGGTGTTCATTTGCTCCCCATGATGAAATAGCATAGCTTG